TTTAAATGAAGGGCATGGGTGAAACAGATTATATATTAGGTGTTAAAATCTATAGAGATCATTCGAAGAGACTTCTAGCTTTGTCACAAGAGCCATATATAAAGAAAATTCTTGAACATTTCAAAATGGAGAATTACAATCCTATTGACACTCCTGTATCGAAAGGCAAAACTCTAAGTCTTCGTATATGTCCTAAAACTATTGAGGAAAAAGAAGAAATGTCCAGAGTTCCATACTCCAGTGCTGTTGGGAGCTTGATGCATGCTTTGATGTGTACTCATCCTTACATTTGTTATGCCGTAAGTCTGGTCAGCAGGTATCAATCTAATCCTGGAAGAGAGCATTGGAAAGCTGTTAAGAGGATATTGAGATACCTGAAGGGTACTGCTAATTATTCCTTATGCTATCAAGGGAATGATTTGTGCTTAAAAGGATATACGGATGTTGATTGGGGTGGAGACCTAGATGAGCGTAAATCAACTTCGGGATATACATTCTTGTTTAATAATGGCGCCATCTCTTGGAGTAGCAAGAAACAGACAGGCATTTCCTTATCTACAATGGAAGCAGAATTCATAGCATGTGCTTCAGCGGTACAGGAAGCTGCTTGTCTAAGGAGATTCTTACATCATCTAAGAGTCCTTAGAGGTGATGTGGGGCCTGTATTGATTTACTGTGATAGTTAGACAGCTATTGCATATACAAAGGATCCCAAATATCATAGTAGAACCAAACACATTGATACAAAATATATTTTTTTAGAGATATCATAGGAAAGAAAGAAGTGAGTTTGCAGTATATTTCTACGCACCAAATGGTAGCTGATCCATTTACAAAACCTATCACTAGAGATATTTTTATGAATCATGTTAGATCTCTGGGATTGCGTAGAATTTAAGTTATGTACTATGTAATTTTTTTTTCCTATAAGTCCATTAATGAACAGTATTTTTAGATTCATATGTTAAGAGTAATCTTTTTTTTTTTGGATTACCTTTGAATATGCACACATA